CCCTATGTTGGTCTCTGACTTGCGCTTGCCTTGGAGTCAGGTGGTGACCGTTACAGATGCCTCTCCAGGAGGCTTCGGGATTTGCGAGAGAGAGTTTGCAGCGGAAGAGGTTGAGAGAGTAGGGCGTTGGCAAGAACGGTGGAGGTACAAGCGTACACCGATTGAAGATTGGGCTCCTCGGCGCCGTGCCCTCGATGACCCGCTCATCGACCCAGTCACCGCTGCGAGAAACCCTGAGGCTTTCGAGCAATCAGATTGATATTCTTGAAATGACGACTTTCAGGAGGTGCCGCTCTCAATGCTTGATCCTGATGGTTACCATGTAGCTTTGTCGGGGGGCTGGAGGCACAAGCGTGAGCACATCACTCTAAAGGAGGGCCGTGCATTGACTTTGGCAGTCCGGAGAATCGCTCGAAGCAGTTGCAATCATAGCCGGAAACACCTCATGCTGGTAGACAATTTGGCTCTGGCCTTTGCTGCGGGTAAGGGTCGTTCTGCAAACCATGCCATGCTCCGGGTGACTCAAAAGCTCGGGCAATACTGCTTGCTTCCAACATTGTGCTGAGGGTTCGCTGGATACCATCCGAGTGGAATGTCTCAGACGGGCCCTCGAGAGGTGCGAGCTCTCCGGGGTACTACCCCCCAGCGAATGAGCACAAAGAGAAAGCAATCAATGTCAAGTGGCGAGGTTTATCAGGAGACTCGAACGCTGAAGAGACAGCCAAGCGAGCCTCCCCCACGGAAGGAGAAGATCCACATCAATGGAGCCAGGAAAGTGGTGAAGAAGAGAGTTCGGACACAGCGACGAAACGTAGTGGCAAGCTTCTCGGTGGAGGACGTTCCATTGGGAAGAGGGCCCAACAGGTCAGTTGACAAAACTCCAGAGGAAGAGCATCAGCAACGAGCAAGAGAACCAATACCATCATTACCTAGAGAAGTTCGAGGACTTTTGCAAGGCCAACGGTTTGCGGTGGCCGCCAACAAACAAGACGGACTTGATCCTGGCAGACTACTTCGACATCCTCTTCCAGGAAGGCCATGGAGTGAGCGTTGGAGAGAAGTCTCTCGCTGCCGTGGAGTACAAGTGGCACCAGGTGAAGGGCACCTTGCTTCGGAGCAGGCGAGCGCTACGAGGGTGGCGAAAGGAAGTACCTCCAAAGAGCCGGTTGCCGTTGCCCAGGTTGGTGGCCTTCGGTATGGCCATGAGGATGCTGAGCTTGCAACTAAGGGCCATGGCACTTCTCCTTCTGTTGTCTTTCGACGTGTACCTGCGACCTGGCGAGGGCTTGACTCTCAAGGCAAAGAACCTGGTGTCACCGGTTCGTGGCAGTGGACGACAATTCCAGCGCTATGTCATCGTGGTCCGGGACGAGGACGACAACCTGCCAGACAAGACGGGCGTCTACAACAACTCGCTTCCCCTGGACTATCCTCGAACTTCAAAATGGTTGGGCCAAGCCCTGGAGAAGCTCAAGAAGGGAAAGAAGGAGAACGATCTCCTCTTCAACGTCAATGCCGAGAAGTACCGGAAGGCTTTCGAAGCAGCCGGAGGTTGGCTGGGCTTGCCTACCAGCTTCGTCATGGCGGCGCTGCCGACGACCTGTTGACCAAAACCAGGGAGTATGCGGCCGTCAAGGACAGAGGCAGGTGGCGAACGGACGCCTCCGTCCGCAGATACGGGAAAGTGGGCAAAATACAAGCGCTGCTGAACAAAATGCCAAGCTGGGCATAGGATTACTGCCGAAGGTCCGAGTCAAGCATGGAAGCAGTTCTGAGCGGGTCGAAGAACCCCCTCAACCACTGAGTCCTCAGTGGCAGGATTGGCGGCACGCGCCTGCAAACAGCTGCCGAAAGATAACGTATGATTTCATTAAAATGAAGAAAAACATGATTTTCCGAATACCCTAGTTTTTTGTTTTGAAATGAAAACTACGTGGTTACCAAAATGCACACAGATAGAATTTCCTTGAGTTAGACACACAAGGTCCCTCTAAGAAGTAAACTTAAGCTAACCTATCCCAGGGGGGCCTACACTAGGACCCTAACCTAAGAAAGCCAGCCTTTTCCTTGAAGAAAAACAGCCTTCGACGTTCGCTCTCTGAGTGTCTGTCCTAGCGCAGTGGCCATGCTAATCTTCTCTGTAGCGTTCTCCACGCACTCCCCCTCGCCAGGTCTTCACGGCCAGGCGAAACTGGGATTCAAACTGGCTTTGGAGATAGAAGATCGGCCACTGCGCCGAGCATTATCCGCGAGAAAAATCTCCAGATGCTCCTGTGCGTTGTTCATCGCCTCTGTAGGCTGAACTACTGTTTCCATCCAGAAACGCTCCCACTGGGCGAGATGCGGGTAGTGCCTTGGGACCTACAGACCCTAAGTGCAAATACTAAGTGTTCTAAAAGCCCGGTTACACCGGAGGTACCCTAACGTGGCCCACACCTTGTCCCATGTTTCCACACCTTGGCTCTTTTGGAGCAAAGCCCAAACTAATTTGTGTGGACAGTCACTCGGACGAATCTTCATCCCGGTAAGCCCTTAAGAGGTACGAACCCATATACCCGGTAAACTCATCCTGGACCTCCACAGGGTAATCCTGTACATCTACACTAAAGTTTGCACGCCACAAGCTGAAGAGGATTCTAGCCCTATTGGGTATACCCTCTGCCAACGGCAGCTCAATGACTTGCAAGTCTTCAGTTTGAGTTGCAACGGCTTGAAATCTTCTCGGAAAGACATACCTGCGTGCAATCCACCTCATGGTCTCCCACAACCCAACCACGCCCACGACCCCGCCTAGAATAAGATACCACCCTTCCCGTAAACTGGTGACCAGGGGAACCGGGGGTTCACATACGGAAGTCGTCGCCACAACTAGCTCCCCATCGAACTGAGTCTCTGTTCCAACTTCGTGATGGCGAACAACCAGGGGTTGAGCGTGTGACCAAACACCAAGAAAACCACCAATAATAGCCATATCCATGGAAGCCTAAGCCCATTTTGCCTTGGCAAGCTCCTCAATTCACAGGAGGGCATACCGCACATCCCTGAGTACAGTTGACCCAAGAGGACCGGAAACTCTGAAATCGCTGATACCCCACCGATACTCCAACACCTATATCCCGATGCCATGCTCCATACACCTACGAGGGTGCACGTGAGAACGTCTACAAAACCCAGAACGGCAAGGGAAAACAATAATCCAAAACCAAACTCAATACCCCCGAACACTAAGGACAGCCAGAAACCCGGCTCCAAATGAACTGGCGTTTCTGCATCCAGCTCCTGAGGCACATCCTCTGGTGAATTGAGAACACTCGCCAAAGCCGACCACTCGAGGCCACCACTATTTAGTGAATTAGCTACTGCCTGGACCGAGTTGAAAGGTAGAAGGTCCTA